TACTGTACAGACGTTGAGAGATGTTGATTTAGTCTGACTGATCCTTCTGTAGCTCCTGATTGACCTACAGGCTATCAAAGCTTGCCTCTTGAAGATACCCGGAGAGGCGTTGTCGACTACCAAGTGAGTTACAATCCGGGATATATGATGTCCGGACCTGATGCTGTAATAGCTACACGAAGAGCGTGACCAAGAGCACGACAAGACTGGAAGCCTTGCTCAAGGTCATCGTGACCCCAGTGGTACGTCCGACGAGCTCCTCACTGTCCCACTTCCTCACATGCCGCATAGGATCCACCCGAGGGCTTCATCCTGAACTACACACTCGTCATCGGCGACGCCTCCTTCTCGAACTTCCAGAAGATCCTTGACCTGAAAGGCACGCCCAAAGCGGCCCAGAACGACCTGCTCGACTCCTTCCTCACCATCACGAGTACGAAGCCCGAGCTCGAGAGCACCTCCTTCCTCTCCTCGCTGGACATGGACCCTGGGTCCGTTGCGAACCTGACGAGTCCCGGGAGCAGCAGGGTGGCGATGCTGCAAGGCGCGACGGGCGAGAGCATCCTGGCGGCTCTGTCATCCCCGCCACTGGCGACTGCACAGTCGGGCGGGTCGGACTCCACGACACGGTCAGATCAGACGAGCAAGTTCTCGGATTTCAAGCGGTTTGTCAGCTTTGGGCTTAGGAGAGAGACTTTACCGCCGCAGTGACCATACTATACCTCCAATCTGTTTCGTGGATTTCCCGGAAGGAACGCCGACTTCAGTGCGGGAGTGTCATACCCAGCATCGTGGTCCACATAACTTGTACATCTTTCGCTGCCTCTGCTCATTAATCACCATCCTGTCCCGTATGCCTTCGAGTGCACTGGAGATCCTGGCAATGTAGAGGGTGGTTATCCCCGGAAAGGGATCATTACGTCTTACGATGTCAGGGGTCTGCAGGTCGCCGCACAACCAAGACGTAAGTAGCATCCTGAAGCCACTTCGACCATGATATATAACTCCTCTGATCTGCGAGGTAGACCGTAGCGGGTATGCAGTTCCCATCTGTTTGCGATCGTCTTGAAGTTGTATCGCGCGACTGAAGGCGGTATATTGGTGGTAACAGTCCTGCTGAGTACTGCTCAGTACTCAACTTCATCATACCTTCTCAGCTTCCGCGTTCTCCTACGGGATGGTTACCCAGGCCTGCAGTGTAGACACTGCATCGCAACGCATTCAGTACGTGCGTATCAACCACGGCGACATCGAACTGTACTATAATTCCTAGCATGTTCAAGCCGCAAAACGTACCTTCCACATAGATGTCAGCATTCGACATGCGTGGCGGACGATCACACGCAAAAATATGACCCCAAGAAAGAACTCCATTACGTTACAGTCGTTACACATTATAATACATCGTGTTGTAGGTCATGAGGAGACGTCCCCCGCGCATGAATAAGTGAAATCGTCGTCGTGAAATCGTCATCACACCGGTCGACGGGGATGTGGGGCGGGTCGGGTCGTCGTGGTCACGGGTCGTCTACTGGAAGGAGGTGCCCTTCGCGGCCTTGACCCAGGCAGCGTCGGCGTCGGGGAACTGGAACGCCATGACACCGGCGCTCCAGCCCTTGGCCTTGGCCTGGTCGACGCACGTGCCGAGCGTCGCGGGGTCGATGAACCCGTTCGTGGCATCGGCAGCCGTGCCGGGCTTGCCAATGACGAGCTTGTTCAGGTCGACGCCGTTGGCCGCGATCTCGAACACGGACGAGCCGGGGAAGGCACCGCCGGACGTGTTGAGGAGACCCTCGCAGTCGGTGTAGAGGCCCTGGTTGTAGAACTGGATGTTGTACTGGAAGCGAACATAGTCAGCGACACGGAGTGTGTTGAGAGAGAGAGGTGCGAACGCACCCAATCGATGAGCTGTCCGACGTTCTTGTTGACAGTCAGGTACGCGCCAGCAGCGAACTGCTGGTTCGGCGACAGCCACGGGGCGAGCGGCGCGTGCGTCAGGATGAATTGGCCCTGAGGCAGCGTCTGGCGGAGGGTCTGCGTGAAGGTGGTGACCCAGGCCTCGGCCGCGCCGTCCCCCTTGTTCATCGCATCCAGATCCTCGTAGTCGACGTCGATGCCGTCGAGCTGGTTCGCGGTAACGAACTGCGCCATCGTATTAGCCGTGGCGACCGGGTCAGCACCCTGGGTCGTCGGCTTGTCGGTCTCGCCGAAGGCGGACACGATGATGTTGATGCCCGCCGAGGCGTACTCGGACTTCTTGGCCGCACGCTGGTCGGCGGGTAGCGCAGCGAACGCGCCAGCTTGGTCGAGCGCACCGTTGAGCGTCAGGAAGGACAGCGCAACGACGTTGTAGCCCTGTCGGAGGCATGTCAGTGACCCGGGCTACTTGCCACAACAAAATGAGAGGCAACTTACCGCAAGCTGGGCAGCTGGGGGCAGCACATCCGCGGACACGAACTTGTCGGTGTAGATGACGAATGCCGGGCTCGGTGCCGTAGCACGCGACACCAGAGGCGAGACGTTCGTCTGGACGGGAGCAGCAAGAACGCTGCTCACGGACGCCAGCGCCAGCGCGGCAGAGACGGAAGAGATCATGCGGGTGAAGGAGAACATCTCTGGGACGTTATACAAGAAAAAGTGAAAAGATGTAAAAGAAGCCGACTAGCGGACTTGAGAAATGTGAAGACGAAAGTAAGTAATGAAAGCGGGGGGTGAGGTTCCCCAGAAGTGAGAGGCCCACCTTAAATACCTTCCAGGTAGACGACGGTGCTTGATCACCAGCTCACCTGCATCAACGAAATTGCTACTTCCGCAAGGGGCTGTGACTGAATGGGCAACGCACACCCGTCCCTTGCCCGCCGTTGCCCGCATGGTCGTTGCAGCGGCTCCGAAGGCGCTGCGCCCGTCCACACGACGGCATTGCGCAATTGCCATCGTTGGCTGAAACAGTGTCCGAAACGACATCGGATGGCCCGCCCATCTCGCGCTACAGAAGCCTTGACGCACAATCACTGGCACGCATCAGAGTATATGCCGCCTCCGGCCAGGAAGCAGTACTGCAAGATAGCATACATACCTTGTTCGTCCAACTGCAGCCGCCAAGAGCACCCTGGTTTCTTGTTGGTCTGACTGGTTGGATGGACTGCCTCTTCGTAGTGTGGCTGACGCATGCCATCCATAGACAGCGGTCTGAAGCCGCTGCGGCAGCGTTGATCCTAGATGACGGGGGCTGAGTCAGCTATGATCCCCATCATACCAATGCTGGTGATGGTGTGTATCACGGAACAACCACCGAGAGGAAACTCGACGACCAGGTCGGAGGCGTAGTTCAAATGATCGTACATAGCCAGCGCAGTGATCCTGGTGAGATATTATTAGATGTGTTTATCATGGAGAAGTATCGAATTACAAAGACCAATGCATCTCTGTATGTCCGGGCTTCAGGAGCAGCGATAAGGTGGGCCCAGTGGCAAAGTCATGATCACCCGGTGCGAGGTTGAGGAGGAGAGGCATGCTCAGACTGCATTCGAGCGCGGCGCAGTGGCTGTGCGCTCTTCCCAGGCGGGGCGCTAGAGGCGCTCTCAGGGGACACGCGCGTCGCCGGTGTCACTCACGTCAACCACCCTAGGCCGCCGTCACTAGGACGGACAGTCTACTCGACCATCTCCGTGCTCGGAACTCTCTGTCTTGATTGCAGTGGTTGCTACTACCGAGCGTGCCTCGTCTCTGGCCGGACTTCTCTCCGCCGGTCGCCATGTCTTTCCTGCAAAGTGCGCGTCGCTACCTACACCGAGATCTCTTGCGCGCGGCGAGGTATCACGAGTTTCCGTCTTCCAGCAAGCATGCTTCAACTGTAACGAACGCCAGAAGCGGCACGTCTAGCGTCAACCCGGACGAGATTGCCCACTTCTCGCGCTTGTCACAGCTATGGTGGGACGAACGGGGAGAGTTCGGTCTCCTGCACAAGATGAACCCTGTGCGTATGGAGTTCGTGCGCCAGAAAGTGGTATGTGGCCCGCACCAACTTCAGTCTCGCCTTCCTCACGCGCTGGAAGCTGGAAATGCAACGGGAGGATGGATTTGAGGACGTGAATGAAGCTCTTCCTCTCGCTGGTCTGGACGTGTTGGATGTGGGCTGTGGAGGTGGCCTGCTATGCGAGGTATGCACGCGTCGACTTCGTTGCGACGCAGCTCACTGATCATGGGTAGTCTCTCGCAAGGCTAGGCGGTAGTACACTGGGCATAGACGCGTCAGAGTCGAATATTGCCATCGCGTCTCTGCATGCAGCTGCTGACCCGGCTCTCTCGTCGCCACAAAAGCGGACCGGATCGCTTACTTACCAACACGCGTCCGCAGAAGACTTGCTGGCGACACGAGGCCCGAATTCGTTCGACGTCGTATGCTCCATGGAGGTCATAGAGCACGTCGACAATCCGCGCACGTTCCTGTCCAACTGCGCGCAGTTGGTGAAGGTACGCACCACCTACTGACGGTCTTGCTTCGCGCAAAATCTCACAAACTACTCCTGCAGCCTGGCGGCCATCTCTTCCTGTCTACGATCGCGCGCACCCCGCTATCGTACTTCCTCACCATCTTCGCGGCAGAGCAGGCACTGCGACTCGTCACCCCGGGCACCCATACTTGGTCAAAATACATCAACCCAGAGGAAATGACCGACTTCTTCCTCCAGCCGGACTCGATTCCCGCTACGTCCGAAGGTGCGGCGCGACCTTGGGTATCTCGCCTCTACGGCGGCATACCCCCGCGTACAGAAGCAGAGGTCCGCGGCATGATCTACCTGCCCTGGAAGGGGGAGTGGACACTTGTTCCCCGAGGTGCTCCGGGCGCGAGTGTGTGGGCTGAAGCTTGTAACTATCTGTTCTGGGTCCGACGCCCTAAGTTTGAATAGGCAGACAGACCTATTGGCGGCACAGTGCACGCACTCGAGCCATGGACGACGCCATGTGGTGTTATTTTTGCAAGACCATGTCACGATATGGCCCGCCTAGCTCAATCGGATAGAGCGTCAGACTCTTATCATATCGACAGGCAGGGTCGAGTTCGACCCTCGCGGTGGGCTAATGAGGTTGCCTAAAGTTTTTTGGGGCTAGCTTTATTAAGCTCGCATTTGGTGACTTCATCTGAGCAAGCTGCTAGGTAGTATTAATATTTTGAACGCACTTCTGTGATCTGTGCTCACTACTATAAACCGTTGCATCATGCATGTAGGCTGAAGACTGTCAGGCACTAGAGTGTGAAGCACCGCCACCGAGCTGGTTAGGCTGGTTTAAGCAGCCACGTGCGGGGATCGATTACTACTTGAAGGCGGGAGGACCATTGAAATAGTAACCGGCCGCCTCCCACTGACCTTCGTTAATCCGGTTCTTCCTCCTCGACCACCACCACAACATACGCCATGCACACGATTCAGGTCCGTCTACACATCTCGAACCAGCATCTATGCGCCGCCTGCTCACAATCTGGCATTTAGCAACAATACTGGGCGGTCCGCGAATATCTCAGTCCGGTGCGCTATAACACCTCGGCGGGCGGCGCAAATGTCGGTGGCTCATGATTCTGCAGGTCTTGAAGGAGAGCAAGTTCAAGGAGCATGGCCGGATAACACCAGGTGCGTTCGCGATCATCATTCAATCCCGCCACTATCCGCAGACTGATCGTTCGCAGAGGAGTTCGTCGCTGCTGGCGACTTCCTCACGTACAAGTTCCCTGTGTGGACATGGTGCGTGGCCTCACACGTCCTCGTTGCCTCTCTGCGGACACCCTGACGCGTGGACGTGCATAGGGAGAAGGGCGACGCGTCCAAGGCGCGCGACTACCTCCCCGCTGATAAGCAGTACCTCCTCACGCGCGGCGTGCCGTGTCTCCGCCGCGCAAGCACGCTCGCGTACACCGACGCGGACGAGGACGCGGAGCGGCTGCTCTCGTTTGCAGACCCGAAGGAGGGCGGCGCGGCGGGGAAGGAGGAGGAGTGGGTCGAGACGCACGCCGGGCGGGCTGGGGGCGAGGCGAGCGCGAATCCCGGCAACATCGACGACATCCCTGATGTGGACGATGGCGAGGCGGAGGTGACTGCGGGCATGGGCGGGCTCAGCGTGGGCGGCGCGAAGGAGGCGGCGGAGATCCCGGACATGGATGAGATTCCGGATATGGAGGAGGACCTGGAGGAGGGCGAGGACGAGGCAACTGCTGCGCCCAAACCCAAGTCTGCTGCGGTGTCGGACGGTGTTCTCGATGTTAGGTGAGTGCTCGCTTGTGCATGGTGAGCATGTGTGGCGGGTCGGCTGACGTGGGATCGTAGTCAAGTTGAGGTGGCCAAGGGGAACCTCTTGCAAGTACGGACGTACGACGTCATGATCACATATGACAAGTACTACCAGACACCACGTATCTGGCTCATCGGTTATGATGAGGTGAGTATTCGCCACTATTCTTCCTGCCGTTCGTGCCCCTCATACTACCTGAACCTCCCCCACGCAATGTACTATTCTAGAACGGCACTCCCCTCACGCCATCGCAAATCTTCCAAGACGTCTCCGCAGACCACGCGTTCAAGACTGTCACCATCGAGGCTTTCCCGCACTCCACCTCCCTCCAGGCCGCGTCTGTGCACCCATGCAAGCACGCGAGCGTCATGAAGAAGGTCATCGAGCGCATGAACCAGGGCGTGATCGAGGAGCAGCAGGCGGCGAAGAAGGGCTCCGCCAAGGACGCAAAGCCCAAGAAGTGGCTCTTCCGGCGCGCGAGCGGGAACGGCAAGGACGACAAGGCCGCTGCTGCCACCACCCCGGGCGAGGAGGAGGTCGAGGGCATGCGCGTCGACTTCTACCTCGTCGTCTTCCTCAAGTTCATCGCGTCGATCGTGCCGACGATCGAAGTCGACTCGACCACCTCGTTCTGAGCGCTCTAGAGGCTGCTAGACTTCGGCTTCGGGCGGATGGTAATGTGGAGGTTTTCGAGGTCGCGGATGGATCCTCAGAGGGTGTGGACGCAAGGAATGAATGAATACTGATACCTGGGACCCTATGCAGATTCTTGCTTCCAGAGTCTTTGTACCGCTATGTAAACCACACGCACTGTATCACGAGTACAATTACACGGATAACGAATGCAAACACGAGTTCAACGACTCAGAGACGTAGGAAAGGGGTGGGTGAGGTATGGATACATGGTGTACGTAACTCACTGCGGTTCGTCGTCAAGCGTCCAGTTATTCTCCTTCACCAGCTTCTCCCGCTCCAGGAGATACTTGCCTACGCATGCATAGTCTCTCAGCGGGAGACCTGTCATCAATCTGGGAACGAGGACACACGTACCTTCCTTGTACTTCTGTGTATGATCTGACGCCTTGTGGTAATACCACCCCATGCGCTCGTTGCATCCCATGCAGTACACGTCCGCCACAGTGTGCACCCCGGTCCTATTGCATTTGACTTTGTCATAACCCACACCTTGCGAGACACGGGATGCTGGGACTCACATCAGCGGGCGGTCCTCCTTCTTCCCCATCTTCAGGTTCACAGCGGAGTGTATGAGGCTTCGAACAGTCGGTAGCAGTCGGTATGGCGGCAGGAAGAGTGTGAGATGGAGACTCACTATCCACGACCGTCCCGCCCGGAGAACGCCTTGCTGATCAACTCGTCCTGGAGTGCCTGTCTCAGCCAAATGTCCCATGTCAGTGCGCGCGCTTTATCGGCACTATCGACCACTCGGGCTTGCGCACAATGACTGCGGTGCACCGCGAACAGGAGAATGTCGGCTTATCGAGGAAGGTGGTGACCACTTTCGACTTTGTGTCGGATGTTGGGGATATCGTGGGGGCGGCCATGGTTACTCGTGCCAGTCTCTCGGCGTGGTCACATAGCAGAGTGCAGCGCGATATGCCACTCGCGAATGAGGAGGTCGAGCAGAGCCTTGCGAAAGAGGCAAGTCGCACTGCCGCCGCACTCCTACTAGTAGTAGCATCGGGCCGAGGTTCCGTAGGCCCGGGGTATAGCAGAGGTTGAGCAGAGGCGAAGCTTGCAGCTCAGTGCAGAGGAAGATGGTCGGGAAGGACAGCGTAATCCATAGCTATAGCAAGGACACAGCATGTCATGGCATACACGAAATGAGATGAGAACATACAGCAGCAGCCCCAAGTACAGTCACCACAACGTCCCTCCACCGTGACCTCAAACGACGGCCTTGGACTTGTCTTTCTTCGACTTGTCCTTTTTCTCCTTCTTGCTCTTCTTCTCCTTCTTCTCCTCCTTCACCTCGCCGTTGGCCTCCGTCGTGGCTTCGACTGGTTCAGGGGGAGCGGGGACATCGACGTCCATCTTGTCCGACGCATCCGCCTCCGCTGCTGTCTCCCCATCCTTCTTCCCCTTGTCCTTCTTCTTCTTGTCTTTCTTGCTCTTCTTCGACTCCTTCGCTTCTGACGCAGCGGCCTCTGCGCCGTCCGTCTCGTCTCGCTTGCGCTTTTTCGACTCGCCCTCCTCCGCCGCCGCCGCCGCCTCACCCTCCTTCGCGCCCTTCTCCTTCTTGCTCTTCTTCTCCTTCGACTTCTTCACGCCGTCATCTGCGGTCGCAGACGAGGAGGCGACGGGCTCCTCGGACGAGACCTCAACCTCCTTGGCCTTCTTGTCTTTCTTCTTATTAGACTTCTTCTCCGACTTTGCTGGGGACGCGACCTCGGTCGCGGAGGCTTTCGCAGGTGATGAAGGCGCCGCGTCGGCCTCGGGTTCCGCGACCTTCGCCTTCTTCTTTTTCGGCTCCTCCCCGTTCTGCGACTATGCGACCCACATTAGCGAATGCACCAGACGAGCATCAAATGAGCAAGGCGCACTTCAGCAGCAGCAGCAGCGCTCTCCTCCCCACCAACCGACTTCCGCTTCTTATCCTTCTTCTTGTCCTTCTTCCCGCCCTCAGCCTTCTTCTCCCCTCCCTCCGCGGTCTCTGCTTTCTCCTGTGCGGGCTTGGGGGACTCGGGAGCGACAGCTGTGACGGGCGACATCCGCACGGGTGTGCCCAAGGGAGTGCCGTTAGCGCCAGATGCCTCTTGTCGGCCGCCCCAGCCGCCGCGTCCCCAGGACTGATACGTACCACCGCCGCCGCCTCCATTGTTGTTGCTGTAGCCAATTTGTCGGCCGTTTCCGCGCGAGCCACCGTTTTGCTGCTGCTGAGTGCCAGAAGGGGCCGACCGAGGTGCGAGTTGAGAGGGGTGGTGATTCTTAGGATCGAGAGTAGGCAGACGCACCTTGGGACCCTTGTACAATCCCTTCTGGTACTTCTCCGCCTCGCTGATGCACTGGGTGTGAGATTTCCACTGCGCGGGACCGGCGAAGGTCGTGCTGCAGTCGAGGCAGGTCACCGAGCTATGGCATATCGAGTAGTGCTTGTCGAGCTTCGGTTTTTTGACAGTGTCGCCGCATGCTGCACACAAACAAATTCACGATGCATTATGTGTTCGTGAGGGAGGTAGGGAGGATTGATAAGTCAGAGAGGGTCCTGTGCGCTTTAATCGCATCGCGGGGTGGACGTGTGCTCACCATCGCACCTGAATGTTTGGTCAGTCCTACAGATTATCCATACTTCACATGGGTATAACTCACTGAAATGACACCATTGTTGAGCAGAGCAAAGAGGGGGATGAGGGCAAGGCAGCGAGGGAGAGTGTGCAGATAGTCCTGGACCTTCGACCAATCAGCGTCCGCGCTCGAGAAATTCCTGGCACGTGGAAATAAACGCCCAGGTAAGTGATCGAACCAGTCTGATGAGTGAATCCAATCCACAAGTCCTCAAGGCCTCATAACCACACCGGGAAGGGGTAGAACCTGGGGTGCAGCTGGAACAGGGCTCGATGAAGGAGGCAATGGACATTGATGATGAGAGTTCACTACGGCCAAGCCTACACAACTATTCCAACAATCCAATGCACGTATGCATGCCACAACTCTCCAACACCGTCTGACCGACTCACTTCGCCGCGCCCTGCGACTTCAGCTTCTCCTGCACAAGCTGCTGGAACTCCTCCCGCAGAATCGCCTCCCGCCTCTCCCGCTCCTCCTGCTGCAGCTTCAG